ATTGAAAGTATTTTGTGATTCATTTAAAATGTATTTTTCATTTCCTTTCCTCTAATTTAAGTGTTTTTCCGATGAAATAAGTATTAAAATTATAATATGTTTGACAAAATTGTTTGGTATCTTATTTGTCATTTCATTTTAAAAAACCTTTTTTGTGTAAATAATTTACATTCACTTTAGACACACTAATACTTTAAGTAGTTTTAATACTTTTAGTGAGAAACTAATGTAAAGTTTTTTCGTAAGAATTTCAAAAATAAAAAATCAAATAAAAAGTAAAAAATTAGATTAAATAACAAGATATTTAAGCCAAACATGAAATTTCCAGTGAATTACGAGTTAATTAAAGAAATGGATTTTGAAAATAAATTATTCATTGAAAAGGCGTCCAAAAACTGATACCCGAAAACATATTCATCATTAAAAATCGATACAAAATTTATTATTATTTTTTAATAACAAAATATAAATTCAATAAATTATTCATCGCGTTCATAATAATCACAAAACTATTATGTAATGACAAAGTTGTTACAATAAATTCAAGTTACAGTAGTATTTTATAGGAGTTCACTTGTAATCACATGTTAAACAGCATTATAATCGAGATATTTATGAATCTAATTAAAAGTTTATGAGAAAAAGTGCACAAAACTTGTGAAACACAGAAACGAGTGATTGGTTGCCGTTTGAGGCATAGAGAGGGCGACACCTATTGCTAAGCCATACGAGTGTTGCCATAACTGCACACCAAAAGCACATCCCTTTCCGCCGTTCCCTTCAAATCGTGTTGTTATTCACGCTTTGAACGCACCATCAGTTTTGGATCAAATCTGGTGATCATTGCCACCGATTAACGGTAAGTCGGTGTCCGAGACACCAACAGGTGTTATACTCTGTGAGCATACTGTCCACACAGAGCACCACTACATGCCTTAAGTGATACACAACTGGTTTCGTGGTATTGATTGACACGTGATTATGATCTGTAGGCCATTACCGTCTGAACACATAACCGCCGAAGATGTCGAAAGTGAAGACAAAGGACTTGCGCGGGAAGAGGAAGGAGGAGCTGGTGAAGCAGTTGGATGAGCTGAAGCAGGAGTTGGCGAACCTGAGGGTCGCCAAAGTGACGGGTGGGACGGCCAGCAAGTTGTCGAAGATCCGGGTGTTCCGGAAGAACATCGCGCGCGTCTTGACGATCATCGGACAGAACCAAAAGGACAACCTTAAGAAGCTGTACAAAGACAAGCGCCATAAGCCCATCGACTTGCGGCCGAAGCTGACGCGAGCCATCCGCAGACGTCTCACCCGTCATGAGCAGCAACTCAAGACTCGGAAGCAGTTGAGACGCGAGAGGATTTGGCCGCAGAGGAAGTTTGCGCTCAAACACTGATTTGATTTGTATTTGAATTTAATTATCGAGTGATTAATAAACGTGTTTTCAAATCGCGATGTTTTTTGTG